AAAAAAATTAGTCGGGCATGGTGGTGCGCACCTGTAGTCCCAGCTACTAAGGAGGTTGAGGCAGGAGAATCGCTTGAATGTGGGAGACAGAGGTTTTGGTGAGTCGAGATCACACCACTGCACTTCAGGCTAGGCAACAGAGCGAGACTCCGTCTCAAAAAAAAGAAAAGTTTGCATGGTACAGAAATTCTGCTTCAACCTGTTGTCAGTAATATTACTTTGTAGCCAACTTTGTCTTGTCTTTTGTCTCACCAGCTACATTATTGAGCAGGGGGTGTGTTATTTGGTTTTATGTGAAGCTGCCTTCCCTAAGAAGCTGGCTTTTGCCTACCTAGAAGATTTGCACTCAGAATTTGATGAACAGCATGGGAAGAAGGTGCCCACTGTGTCCCGACCCTATTCTTTTATTGAATTTGGTAAGTTTTTTTCCCCCTCACTTCTCTCTATCAAGGAGGCAGACACACTGATATAATATTGATACATTTTTTTCTGATGTTTACTTATTGAAGTTTTAGCTTTTGCTTTCTTTTCCATTCCACTTCTTTTTGTCTTTTTAAATGATTAAGGCTTCCTTCTGAAAAGTAATTTTCTCTAGTCTTTTGATCTTCCCCCCATAGAAATTGTTGTCTTTTGCCCATCTCTGTTATTTGGTTTGACTCTTCATTGGAGCCACATGTGACAGGTACTGTGCTGAAGGTCTATGACACATTATGGCTGAGTTCTTCTTTACTCCAGTCCATAGACTAACACTCACATTAAGGCTCATTTTATGGAGATGAGAATTAGGAAGTCAGAAAGAAGGGTGTGTTGTTTCTTTTAGTAGAATAAGGTCCTGTAATTAAACCAAGAAATAGAAGATACATGGTATTCATGGTATTGGAGTATAATATTTAGTATATTTAGGAATAGTGAGCATAGGTGTCTGTATTTGTACAAGAATTATAGAAAAACCAATCACTAATCAGACCTGGTAAAGTATCTGATGACAAAGGATCAAAGGAAATGTCCTAAGTACAGGGAGTGAGAACAAGTAGGATCAGGCTATATCGCTGACATTTTTAGTTAAAAGAGAAATTAGTTTTACTTTCTCAGAATTTCTGAAGTGTTTCAAGTTTGCTAGATAAATGGGTCATCTTGCTTTTGAGAAATAGAGAATATTTGGGAAAACACTCTAGTGTTTCATAACTGCACACTCTCCAAGTGCTGGTTTATATAATGTCCAGTTTTTCAAATTTTATTTTTGTAGACAGTAGTAGTCCCATAAACCGCCCTCCAAAAATAAGACAAATGTGTCAGGGTCATACAGGAAATAAATGGTACACGCAAATTAGCTTAAGGGAGTATATACAAAGATACGAATAGGCTGTAGGAGAATTACAAGGTACAGTAACCTCAGACCAGTAGCATACTGGTTATTACTATTCCTAGGCCTGAAGATATAAGGGAAAGGAGCAGTTTCTGAAACAAAAAGGAGAAAATTTCTAGAGAAGGCCAACGAGAAGAGCAGTAACTTGGTAGAGGGATACTGCCAGAAGAAGGATCCTTCCTTCTCTGAAAGGAGCTAATGGAATAAATATCCTGATGTCACTGTCTGTTCTCCTTCTTCCCTACTGTTGGGGCTCTTTCACTGCCTGAACCTAACGGACATAGGGCAAGGAGTCTTTTGAGGCACTCCATACAAATCAGCTTCCCAGTACAGAAAGAATGGTGCAGGAGAGCAGAAAGGAGATCTAAAGAGGCAAATAAAGGAGTCCAGCACACATAAATTAAGATTTTTGCCAAAAGTTGAATATATCTTTAATAATAAGTCATTCCTCTTATAGTTTTGAGAAATGCTGATATGAGCAAAAGATGGACGAGACTTCAGATTTATTTATTTATTTATTTATTTATTTAGAGACAGAGTCTCTCTCTATCTTCCAGGCAGGAGTGCAGTGGTGCGATCTCAGATCACTGCAACCTCCACCTCCCAGGTTCAAACAATTCTTGTACCTCAGCCTCCTGAATAGCTGGGACTAGAGATGCACGCTGCCTTGCCCAGCTAGCTAATTTTTGTATTTTTGGTAGAGATCGGACTTTTGCCATGTCGGCCAGGCTGGTCTCGAATTCCTGGCCTCAAGTGATTCGCTCACCTTGGCCTCCCAAAATGCTGGGATTACAGGTGTGAGCCACAGTGCCTGGCTTAGACTCGTTTTATATTGATATTTTGGAAAACTCCCTATTACATATTTGCTTTACCTGAGGTTCAAGAATGGAATGAAACTGGGAATGTATATTAGAGAATATACTTTAAGGCAGTGTTTAAGCTTTTTAATGAACATGAGCTCTTTTGCCATGTTAGGCTCTAATGATGTTAGAGTGTTACCAGTATCCTTTTAAGGAATGTGTAGAGTTAAGTAAACCTAAGGGTCCTCAGAATAAATATTGTTTGAAAATTTCTGTTTTCAGGAAAGGCTTACTATAGAGGGTCTTAATTTCCCTAAGCCTTCTGATAGCAGCCTTAGATAGCAAATCTTATACTTCAAAGGTATCCAAAGGACATTTCTTCTGAAGGGTCATCTAGTTATACCTTTACATTTTACAAATAAAGAAATCAAAGCCTAGATTTTGATATTCAACCAAGAGTTTGATTAACCATTGACAGTGGCAAATTCAGGAATAAACTCCGAACTTTTTTTTTTCTTTTTTTGAGATGTAGTCTTGCTCTGTCACCTAGGCTAAAGTGCAGTGGTGTGATTTTGGCTCACTGCAACCTCGGCTTCCCAGGTTCAAGCAATTCTCCTGCCTCATCCTCCCAAGTTGCTGGGATTACGGGCATGTGCTACCATGCTTGGCTAATTTTTTGTATTTTTAGTAGAGACGGGGTTTTACCATGTTAGCCAGGGTGGTCTTGATCTCCTGAACTCGTGATCTGCCCACCTCGGCCTCCCAAAGTGCTGAGATTACAGGCATTAGCCACCATGCCCAGCCAACTCAGAACTTTTAATTTTCTACTTCAGTACTTTGAAGGCCGTTAAAGAGATGGTTCATGGTCACTTTTCTTCATCATTCAGATACCTTCATTCAGAAAACCAAGAAGCTCTACATTGACAGTCGTGCTCGAAGAAACCTAGGCTCCATCAACACTGAATTGCAAGATGTGCAGAGGATCATGGTGGCCAATATTGAAGAAGTGCTACAACGAGGAGAAGCACTCTCAGGTATCTAAAAGCAGTGAGTCTTATGAATAAATGGTTCTCATTCCATAGACAAAGATAGCTTATTTTGCAGTGCCTTTTATGCTGTTAGATTCTACGTAGAACTGTTAAGAATTTATCTCCCAGAAGTACATTACATTACTATGCTTCCAATAGGGTATGTTTTTTTCTTAGCATGATTAGTTTTTGTTGAGTTGGAACAGTGTAAAGGACTCATCCATATTTGAAGCAATGATTATTTCTAAGATATTGACAAAATTAAGCAAATTATATACAGAAACACTTGTAAAAGTTAAGGGAAATGAAAAGAATGAGAAAATTATCAAAGATTTATTGCAGTGGTTTCTTGAGTAGCCTCTTTGGGAGACTACTGCTGCCAGATCAATCTTTATAAAATGCCGTTTTCATCAGGCATTCCTCTCTGGAAAACTTTTAAATCTGGGACTGCAAGATAAGATCCAGTCTGACTTACTTTTCAGCCAGTCAGTGCTTGTTATTTGGAAGACATTGTGCTCTATACCTGGAAAATAAGGAGAATGCAAATGTCTGTCATTCTCTAGTTCACAAACATTCTGCTGCAGCCAGGCCAGCTTCTTCACTATCCTTAGTGGTCTATTCTGCCTCATGCTGGAACTGTTCTATAAGACCTCCATAAGAACTGCCTTTTTAAAGAAGCCTTCTGTGATCCTTATAGCCTGTATCACATTAATCTCTTCTGTACTTTAAACTCCTAAAGCACTCAGTAACATAATGTTTTTAGCACATATTACGTGTGTGTACGTTTACCTAATTTACCTTAAATATGCATATTTATATCATATATACCATAAAGATATATTAAATATATATTTAATATATTTCCATGTAAGATAAATATATATTTTATATATTTAAATATTTATATTAAAGTAGGTAAACATTTGTATAATTAAATAATTTTATATAATTTCATATATTTATGTTTTTGAGACAGGGTCTTGCTGTGTTGCCCAGGCTGGAGTGCAGTGGCAGAATCTTGGCTCACTGTAACTTCCTTCTCCTGGGATCAAGTGATCCTCCCACCTTAGCCTCCTGAGTAGCTGGGGCTACAGGCATGTGACACTATGCCTGGCTAATTTTTGTATTTTCTTAGTAGAGATGGGGTTTTGCCATGTTGTCCAGGCTGGTCTCAAACTTCTGGGCTTAAGCAATCCACTCACTTCAGCCTCCCAAAGTGCTACAAATACAGTCATGGGCCACCACACCTAGCCCTTTATATAATTTTTAAAGTGTAGGTAATTAGGTAAAATTAGATTAAAAGTATATGTATATTTACCTGAAATTTAAATATTACCTAAATGTTTAATGTGAACATGCAGGCTCTTTAAAGATAGTGTTTATGTGTTTTATATCTGTTTCACATAATTCTTATATGTCCCCCACAGTAATGGTCACAAATAGGTTCCTTAATAAGTATTTTTTAATTCAGCCATGCTATATATTCATTAGTAAATGGGTTTTCTTTTATTACAAACTACAAACTTTAACCTTTTTGTGAGTAGTGAGCAGTTACCCGTTTACCTTCACACTCTTTAAATATCAAATTTTGAGTGAGTGTGTAAGTTTTTGTCATACAGACTTACAATTCCTAAATGAGATAAAGTAGACTAGCACAGGAATTTTTTGTGTGTCACCCATGCAAGACTCTAAATTCCATAAAGGCAGGGATCGTGTACATTTTGATCACTGTTTTATCCTTTGCACTTCACATGGTGCCTGTAACATAAATATTTGTTAAATAACTTCTCCAAGCAATAGCTTTGTCTTTATGTTTTCCTGTGTTTCAAAATATTCATATATAAATTCTCTTAACTATGACTTGTTTCATATGGTCTAATAATTATTTCTCTGCTGAGTTACTCTCAACAAATTTAGATTCATTTAGCAAATGTTTATTGTGCACTAACTATATACCAGTCCCTGTTCTGGGCACTCAGGATATAGCAGCAAACACAATAATTTAAAATCCCTGCCCAGTGGAGTGTATATTCTTGTAGACTCTGTAAAAAGATGCCCTGTGAATTGTCATGGTTATTTCTCCCTAACTTCTCTTTTGTGACTAGATGTTTTTCTTACTCGTGTGATCAGTTGCTAGTTCAGACATGGCTGTCATGCTTGTATTATTAAGTAATGCCATGTTTCCCAATCAAAACCAGTGTCTATTAAGCAACTCCAAATATTCCAAAAGCATTCTTTAAGGAAGAAACAATCAGATTGCAAAATAGCTTTTCTGAAATTTAAAGAAATGAAGAGTTTGATCAGAATTTATTATGTCAAATGGAGAGTTTGTGTTTATTTTTAAAATATACCCTATATTTTAATCTGGTTTAGCTCTTGTCTATCTGGCTATTTCTCTTAAGTGCTTAGTTACCTATTATAAGATAACATTGCAAATGTCCTTAGGGGTCAGAAAACTTGCCAACTTGCCAGAAAATGCTAAAACTTAATTGATTCGTGGGTTTTTTTTGTGGTACTTTTTATTGTATTTTAGTTGTAACTAAATACAATAACTAAATTTATATTTCCTATGTCTATTGAAATATAAATGCTGATAATTTTAAATTCACAATAGTCTTTACTATGTGGAGAATCTTAGAAATTTTAGCAGTCATCATTGAAGTATAGCTTAAGACTGTGTTTGGTTAATTGAATTTTCTGATTATTTGAGTTTGTTTTACATGAATTATCATTATCGTTTTTCAAAATGTAAAATAATATGATTCAGACCATTAAAAGATTATGAAGATAATAATTATTAGCATGTAATAATTATGGTACTTTATCATATGCAGGCATTGTTGCTCACTTTACAGGCAATTTCATGTACATACAACCTATGACATGGTTACTGTTATTATCCCCATTTTATAGATAAAGAAACTAGGTTTTAAATAGGTTTTGTGACTTGACCAACATCACATGATTGGGACAGGTGATATCTGAACCAAAGATTCTGAGGCCAGAACCTGCACTTCTAACCACCTTACTATATAGCCTCAAAAATTCGGACATAATCTGACCTGATAATTTTAAACTATATTATAAATATTACAGTGTTTCAGGATCATCAGTTAATTAGTATATGCAATGTTACCTTTAAAATAAAAATGATAATTCAAGATTCATGGTTGTTACAGTGGTACTCATTTTGGTTATTTTTAATGCCTTAATACTTTTCCAGGGACTAATATAATGTTTTCCTTTTTTCTTCTTTGACAGCATTGGATTCAAAGGCTAACAATTTGTCCAGTCTGTCCAAGAAATACCGCCAGGATGCGAAGTACTTGAACATGCGTTCCACTTATGCCAAACTTGCAGCAGTAGCTGTATTTTTCATCATGTTAATAGTGTATGTGCGATTCTGGTGGCTGTGAAATAATGAATACAGTCACTGGTAAGGGAGAACCTAGAACCCAGTAGGTGTATATTTTCAGGAAGCTGAGCTCACAGAGATGTGTATTAGAATCCAAGCAGAACTTCTGCCTCTAAAGACCTTGCAAGAAAAGACGTGTCCTGAAAATGAAAGGTTACACCTCATTAAATGAAGCTTAACCCTATGTAGAATGTCTCTTTCGGGGCAGAGGCTTTCTCTGGGTGCTAAGCCATGTATGTTAGGGAACAGTAGATTGTTACTTTGTTTTTTCCCTCCCAGTACATTTTAGAAATGGCACTGACTGGGGTATTCTCATTCTCTAATGGAGCCATCAATGAGATTTAATTTAGCCAACCCGTGCTAGCAACATTCTGAAATTCCTTCAAAGAAGGCAGTCCTTTTGGAAAGGTTTTTTTGTTTGTTTGTTTGTTTTTTGTTTTTTGACTCTAATCAACATTCCTTTTGTTGGTGACATTTGTAATTTTGAGTAATATGAGTTTTTGATGGCCTTTTAAACAAGACTCCAGTATATGAAGGTTAATTGCTGTGCTCTACAGACCTTGTCAATTGGCCCCTATAGAAAGTTAACCTTTGTTGTGTTCCCTTTATAAATTGCTTATTGCACAATTGCTTTAGGGTTAAATGAATTATATTAAGATGGCTTGAAATTATAGCACTCCTTGATTAAGAAGGTAAAATGTTTCTCTCATTTACTCCTTAAACAAAAGACTAAAATTAGTTTGGGACATTGTTAATTTTATTTTGAAGCATTTGATTTGTATTAGTATAAGAGCAAGTATAGCATATGCTTAAATGAGGCCCTTGGCTTCATGAGAAGAAAGGAAGACCCAGGTTATAATTACAGCTTTCTCCTGCCCCTTCTTTGCTTTCTCTACCATGATTTTCTCCACTGTTTATGTTCCCCCTCCCACAATTTGCTAACATTTAAAAATTTTCTGCACCCAGTAGTTTCATGTCCTGTAGACATCCTCTTAGGACATTCTCAAATTTCAAAATAAAAGATATTAATCTACATAGCTAATTAAAGTTTTTGCAGTACTCAAACTACTAAATACATTTACCTGAGAAAAAGTCTCTGAGAGCACCTCATTCCTGTTTTAGTTCATGTAAATTCTCTGAGAATGTTCTAGAGATAGATAAGTCATTTATAGTAGTTTCTATTAACTAATTAATGTACCCATGCTTTTTTCCTTTTCTGCTCAGGGATGATGAGGATTTCCTTTTACCTTCTGAGGTAGAATTTTTTAATGAGGATGGGCCTTTTAAATATTATCGCAAGGGTCTACAATATAACTTAAAACTCCTATCCATACTGCAAATATTTCTTTAAATTGTATGGGAAAACGAGCCAACTTATTTCTTAATATCTTTGGTGAGAACTTTAACCAGTAAGCAATTTTATAACCCTGAGGGATCATCAATGATACTATCCTGATTCCTGTTAAGGAAAAAAATATTTTTCCTTATAACAAGGCAAGGAGAAATGCTGTTTTATTCCTGATAATTTATAGAACTACAAAAATTTTTTCCCTTTCTTTTATGGACCTAAATCTGCCAATTGGGAATTTTGTGCATGAAATATGAAGTTACTTTTTATGGATAATCAATGCTTTTAAGTCCCCAAAAGGCTCCTCCCTAGGTAATGATGATGTTGATAATAAAAGCCTTTGAAAGGCTGAAATCCTAAATAGTGGTACCATAGTATTTGGTGCTTCTAAAAGAGTGGAGAGGGGCAGCTCATTGTTGAGAGTTGCATGCTGCAACCTAATGGTCAGCAATGAAATAAATACTTCTAGAATGTTCACTTCAATGTGAAGTTTTGTTATCTAGTTAACTTATATACACATATCCTTTGTAGATACATTTCTGTCTAATCTTGGTAGGCTAATTAAGAAAGAAGGGATGGGGTAAATGTCAACAAAGAAACAAGAAAGTGATTTAAGATCAGAGTAGCAGAAAGATGAGAGAACAAGACTATCACAGTATGGCTCCTGGTTTTCTTTCTTTATAAGAGGCAGTGGGAAGATCTGACTAGATGAAATGCATCAGTAACCAAACTGGCATTTAAAATAGAATGGGATAAATAGTGTATGGGGTTATTGGAGGCACATTAAGAATGGACACCTAGTCTATTTTGGGAAGGAGTATGGTAAGAGAAGACTTTGTAGAGAAGGAGAATAGGGCATTAGAGGGAGAGTCAATGGCATGTGCAAAGGCATAGATAAAGAGAGCAAAGCATATTTTGGAAATGTAACGGCTTGGTTCAGCTTAGCCCATAGGGCAAGCATAGACAACAGAGACTTGAGGAATGATAACTAGATTGGTACACCATCATAAAAGGACTTGTCTATCATGCTAAGGAGGTTAGACTATCTTAATGGCAGTGGCAAAGGATGGCATCAGATTTATAGTTCAAGTGATCATTTTGACCTTCGCATAAAAGATATATTAGGGAGGGATAAGCCTAGAAGTAGATAGATGAAAATAAGGAGCCATCAAAGGCAGAATGAAGCTTAGGCAGATTTCAAGTGATTTTCAAGAAAGATGTGATCAGAGGTACCAGATACTATTACATAACACTTTCTTTGTTTGTTAGGAGCTTATTTCTCACACTGACCAAACCTTTTGAAGTAAGTACTCTTCATACCGCTATATAAATACACTTTACAAAGGATTCTGCTTTGAGGCATGACAGAGTTAAGTAATTTGCCCAAAGTCACAGAGTTAGAAAGTAATAGAGCTAAGATCCTTAGGTAGTTTGGCTCCAGAGTCTGTACTCTTAACCACTGTACCACCACCAAGAGGTCAAATAAAATGAGTACCAAAAAATGTATTTTTGAATTTAACAACCAGGAACTTAATCATACAGGCAGAAGTAATTCCAGAGCACTGGGGACAGAAGCCAGATTGCCATATGGGTTAAAGAGTGTGTAAACCACTAGGAAGTGAAGACACAGAACTACTGTCTCAAGTGTTTTTCTGGTTATTATGACACTGAACTTCATGGCTTGTTTTAATTAAGACATCTTACAAATGTCAAAATTTAGAAATATTTGGACATTGTACACACTCTGGTTATTTAAATGTCTAACAATGGTTCTTAAGCATTTTGAGAAACCTTTAAAAATCTGATGAAAGGTATGTGCCATTACTCCAGAAAAATGCTCCTGTGTACATGCACACCAAGTACCACATACTGTTTCCAGCTGTTCAAGGACTACAAAGTCTGTTCGTGACCTAGTGGTCCATGTTTCCTCAGTTAAAAGCTCCAGAGATACAGGATGTGGTAACTCAAAGGTAAGTACCCAGAGCCTTGAAAACTCCAGTTATGGTGACTTGGAAGAATTCTATAATTTGAATTAACTTTGTGGAGAGATGTATTTTTGAAAAATTGTATGTACCCAAAAAAATTCATATCAAATAATATTTTCCTGTAGTGTATTCAAGGATCTGATTCCACAGAAAAATATTGTTTTGGTTTCAGTTTCTCAAAATCACATTTAAGGAGCTTGAGATTTATGTTTTCCACTTAATAAGTCTTACAAAAGCTAGTTAAGGAAAATAGATAATCATTTCTGCACACATAAGATTTAGTAAAAGATGTATAATAAAACATCTCATTTCTTAAATTTCCACCTTGTTGGTAGCTTTCATGACGAAGGGCTCGGGTATTAGTGGCTGTACAATTAAGGTTTTTGGTAGTGAAGTTAGCAGAACTAGTAGATTCCTACCTGGTGGGTTTTTTTCCTCCAGTTAGCTCAGCAGGAAGGTAAATAGCAGTCATTGTGTGTGTGACAAATTTTGAGATAGAATGAGCAAATTGAATCTCATGTCCTATTCATATTACTGTCAGGCAGGGTTCACCTAAGAGTATAAAACTATCTCAAGCAATTTAGTCACTCAGTCCTCAAAAAGTTGATTTCAAGTACTGTAACAATTCATGTTTAGATTAGAAAAATCACTAGAAATTTGCCTTCTGTATAGTAATCTATACTTTTTTCTCTCATTTCCTGAGTACTAAGTATTAGGCATTTTACAGGTATAACTACAATTCTTAGAAGCATTTTCTGTGCTTGCCCAAGGTCACATAGCTAGCAGGGTAAAGCAGATTGAAATCCAGGCCTGCTAGACACCAAATTATTATTTAAGAATACTTTTCACTACTCCTAAATAATGACACAGATATGTTTGTCTTATGCACTTCACTTGTACTGTCAAGTTATTAGTATGTTTATTTTGAAAAGTGTTTTTTACAATTTATTATTTCAGTAACTTTTAAATTCATTACCTCTTCTTCCTTTATTCTTTTTAAATAGTTTTTGCTTTTGTTATTTTGTTTTCCCTTTTTTATTCTTGGCTTGTAATACAGCTTTCCTTATTTGCTCCTTTCTCATTTGATCTCAATATTAATCGAACCGTTTCTACATCTGATTCACTAAAATTTTAGCCATTAAAAAAAAATCCCATTTTTTCTATGTCCTTTTGCCCATTCTCTTCTCTTTGCCTCACTTCTTTTTTTTTTCCATTTTGCTTTCATTTTTTGTTTCCCTAGATGTTGTTTTTACATATAAGTTAATGTACTGCTGCAATTTTGCATCTATAGATTAGAGCTTCAGAATCAACTGAGTGTATTCTTTATTTTTAGGTCTAAATTTATATTACCTTTTACTGATTTTATAATATACTGTGCTCTTTCATTTTAGTCTGCACATTAGCCAAAGAAGATAGGCGTATTTTAAGAAATCTGTTTGTAAAAAATGTCAAGCATGGCAAGAATTCTTCAAGAAATAAGCTCCTCTAATTTGTCTTCTATGTTTAGAGTTTCAACAGTTAATTTTATTACTGGTAACTCCCCAATATACCTTCAAACTTGTGTTTTGGGCCCAAGTTTTTCTGCTTCTTATATATCTGTTTTTGACTATCCCATAAATACTTAATTGCATCTAAAATATATTGCCTCCACTCCATTGCTCTCAAAGATAAAACCAAATCTGTGCTGCTTACTATATTTCCAATATTTAGGCATCACTTGCTATTCCTTTATCTGAGCTACATGTCGTGAATTGTATTAGACTCCTCTGTTTTCTTCTTTCACCTCTAACTAGACTGTTGACCAAAATCTTTTTTATATAACTTTCAAAAGGTATTTCATTTCTTACATCATTTCCATCCTTTATGTTTTGGGTTTAAGCACTCATTAACTTTAAGAAGGATTCTTGCAGTACCCTCCCTACTGATTTTGTTACACGTCCCTCTTTTATGTCAGTACTACCATGATAATACCATGGATAATTTTTTAAATGCGAATCATACTGCATTTTCTTTAGAATAAAAGATCAAATACTCCAGTTTGCCATTCGCAGTCTGGCCCCATTGTACCATTCTAGACCCATCTCCTGCCACTCCCCACCACTCTTACTTTGTTTCAGCCCACACTAAATAAGCTAGTTCTCAACCAGTCAAACACTTTACCTTGTGCCTTGGCTCACTGTATGCCTTTTCTCCAGAATATCTTTTTGTATACTTCTCTCCCATCCTTTTCCCTTTAAACCTGTTGCTATGGCTTGGATGTTCTTTGGCCCCTCCAAAACTCATGTTATAATTTGATTGCCAATGTAATAGTAGGAGATGGTACTTTTAAGAGGTAATTAGGTTGCTAAGATGGACTAACATCTTCACACTGAGACTGGGTTAGTTCTTATGGGTATGGTTAGTTCTCAAGAGAGTGAATTGCTATAAAACAATGCTGCCTCTTCTATTTTGCACTTTTTGCGTGCACATACTCGGTCCTCTTCTGTTTCTCTACCATGTTTTGATGCAGCATGAGGCAATCATGAGAAGCCACCCAATACAGCTGCCTGATCCTGAACTTTCCAGCCTACAGAACCATGTGCTAAATAAAATTCTTTTTAATAAGTTACCCGCTCTCAGGTATTCTGTTATAGCAACAGAAAACAGTTTAAGCCTGCTAGGCTCCTAACCTTGAGAGGCTAGAAAACAAAGCCAGAGGTCGAATACCAGCCTCTGCAGAGTTAGAACACACAGCTCACGAGTGCTGAGCTCAGCCATTGCCCCCAAAATCTTGCAGAAATGACGCCAGTTAGCTGAACCCAATATATACAACAATCAAACCCCCAAGGGCATAAAAGAACACCAAAGAAGAAAAACCTCTCCAAGAAACAGCAACTTCAAAGGTTGAAACAACATCATACCAGGCAGATGTGAACCAGCACAAGAACTCTGGCAATCCAAAAAGCCAGTGTTTTCTTACCTTCAAACAACTGCAGTATTTCACCATGAATGGTTTTTTATTTCTCCAACAATGGTTCTTAACCAGGCAAAAATGACAGAAATAGAGTTCTGGATATGGTTAAGAATGAAGATCATTGAGATGCAGGAAAAAGTTGAAACCCAGTCAAAGGATTCTAAGGAATACAATAAAACAATACAGGAGATGAGAGATGAAATGGCCGTCTTAAGAAACAACCAAATTGAACTGATAGAGCTGAAAAACTCAAAGAATTTCAGAGTATAGTTGCAAGTATTAATAGCAGAATCAATGAAGCGAGGAAAAGATCTGAGAACTCAAAGACTGGTTCTCCTAAAGAATTCAGACAAAAATAAAAAAGATTAAAGACAGATCAACAAAACCTCTGAGAAATACGGGATTATGTAGAGACCAAATCTATGTCTCATTGGCATGCATGAAAGACAGGGAGGAAAGCAACAACTAGGAAAACATTTCTGGATATCATCCATGGACACTTTTCCAACCCTGCTAGAGAGGCCAACATTCAAGTTCAGGAAATGCAGGGAACCCCTGCAAGATACTATACAAGATGACCATCCCCAAGACACACAGTCATCAGATTCTCCAAGGTTGAAATGAATGAAAAAATGTTAAAGGCTAGAGAGAAGAGGCAGATCACCTACAAAGGGAGCCCCATTAGGCTAACAGCAGACCTTTCAGCAGAAACGCTACAAGCCAGGAGATATTGGGGTCCTATATTCAGTACTCTTAATTCTAACCAATTTCATATCCAGGCAAACTAAGCTCCATAAGGAAAGGAGACAAGATCCTTTTGAGACAAGAAAATGCTAAGGGAGTTTGTTACTGCCAGATCTGTCTTATAAGAGGTCCTGAAGGGAGTGCTAAATATGGAAAGGAAAGACCAATACTAGCCACAACAAAAAAAGACTGAAGTACATAAACCATTGACACTATAAAAACCATACAAGTTTGCATAGTTACCAGCTACCAATACAATGACAGGACCACTGACACTATAAAACCACACAAAAGTCTGCATAGTAACCAGCTAACAACACAGTGACAGGATCAAATCCGTACCATACCAGTGTTAACCTTGAATGTGAACAAGCTAAATACCCCAATTAAAAGGCACAGAATGACAAGTTGGATAAAGAAGACCCAACAGAATGCTGTCTTCAAGAGAACCATGTCACATTCAATGACACCCATAGGATCAAAGTAAAAGGATGGAGAAAAATTTACCAGTCAAATGGAAAACAGAAAAAAACAGGGGTTGCTATTGTAATTTCAAATAAAGCGGACTTTAAGAAGAAAGAAGACAAGGAAGGGCATTACATAGTGGTACAGGATTCAATTCAACAGGAATACCTAACATAAAATTCTATGCACCCAACACAGGAGCACCCAAATTCATAAAGCAAGTTCTTAGAGACCTATGAAGAGACCTAGATAACTACACAGTAATAGTGGGAGACTTGACTATCCCACTGACTTAGATCAAAGCAGAAAACAAAGATATTTGGGACCTGAACTCAATACTTGACCAAATAGACCTAATAGACATCTATAGGCCTCTCCACTCAAAGCAACAGAGTATACATTCTTTTTGTCTACACGTGGCACATGCATACTCTAAAGTTGACCGCAAGTTGGCCATAAAACAATCCTCAGCAAGGTAAAAAAAAAAAAAAAACCAACCACACTCTCAGACCACAGCACAATAAAAATTGAAATCAATACTAAGAATCACTCAAAATTGTGCAATCACATGGAAATTAAACAACCCGCTCCTGGATGACTTTGGAGTAAACAATGAAATTAAAGGGAAAATTAGGAAATTAATTGCAACTTAAGAGAACAAAGATACAACATACCAGAATCTCTGGGACACAGCTAAAACAGTCTTAAGAGGGGAGCTTAATGCCCACATCAAAAAGTTAGAGAGATCTCAAACTAATAACCTAACGTCACAGCTACAGGAACTAGAGAAACGAGCAAACCAACCCCAAAGCTAGTAGAAGACAAGAAATCACAAAAATCAGAGTAGAAAGAAGTTGAGACATGAAAAACCATACCAAAAATCAGTAAGTTCAGGAGTTGGTTATTTGAAAGAATAAGGTAGATAGACCACTAGCTAGACTAATAAAGAAGGTCCATATAAACATAATCAGAAATGACAAAGGGGGACATAGCCACCAACCCCACAGGGAGGAAAAATCCCTCAGAAACGTCTATGAGCACCTCTGTGCAAACAAACTAGAAAACCTAGAAGGAATGAGTAAATTGCTGGAAACACAACCTCCCGAGATTGAACCAGGAAGAAATTGAATCCTTGAACAGACCAATAACATGTTCTAAAATTGAATCACTAATAATAATTTTTAAAAACCCTACCAAATCAGAAAAAGCCTAGAACTGGATGAAATCACAGCTAAATTATACCAGATGTATAAAGAAGACCTGGTATCATTAATACTGAAACTATTTCCAAAAACTGAGGAGGAAGGACACGTCCTTAACTCATTATATGAGTCCAGCATCATCCTTATACCAAAATCTGACAGAGACACGACAAAAAAGAAAGCTTCAGGCCAATAACCTTGAGGAACATAGATGCAAAAATCCTCAACAACTCAATTTGCTGTACTAGCAAGCCCAAGCCCAGCAGCATATCAAAAACAAATCCACTGCAATCAAGTAAGCTTTATCCCTGGGATGCAAGGTTGATTCCACATATGCAAATCAGTAAATGTGATTCATCACATAAACAACTAAAAACAAAAACCACATGATTATCTCAATAGATGCAGAAAAGGCTTTCAATAAAATTCAACATTCCTTCATGTTAAAAACCCTCAACAAACTAGGCATTAGAGGAACATACTTCAAAATAAGAAGAACCATCTATGATAAGTCCACAGCCAACATCATACTGAATGGACCAATGCTAGAAGCATTCCCCTTGAGAACTAGAACAAGACAAGGATGTCCACTCTTACCAATCCTATTCAACATAGGAGTCCTAGCCAGAGAAATCAGGTAAGATAAAGAAAGAAAAGACATCTAAATAGGAAATGAGAAAGTCACACTATCGCTGCAGAAAATATGATTCTATACCTAGAAAACCCCATAGTCTTTACCTAAAAGCTCCTTGATCTGATAAACCCTAAGAAAGTTTCAGGAGACAAAATTAATATACAAAATCAGTGGCATTTCTGTACACCAGCAACAATCAATCTGAGGGTCAAAATCAAGAATGCAATCTCATTAACAGTAGCCACACACACACACACACAAATACCTAGGAATATAGATATCAAGGGAAGTGAAAGATTCTACAATAAGAATTACAAAACACTGCTCAAAAAAATGAGATGACACAAACAAATGGAAAAACATTCTATTCTCATGGATAGGAAGAATCAGTATTGTTAAAATGGCCACAGTGCCCAATGCAGTTTATGGATTCAATGCTACTCCAGTCAAACTACCAGTGACATACTTCACAGAATTAGAAAAAAAAAAACTATTTTAAACTTCATATGGAACCAAAAA